CACCACAGGACCCTGATCCAGACCACCACAGGACCCTGATCCAGACCCAGACCATCACAGAACCCTGATTCAAATCCAGACCATCACAGAACCCTGATCCAGACCCAGAACCACCACAGAACCCTGATCCAGACCATCACAGAACCCTGATCCAAATCCAGACCATCACAGAACCCTGATCTAACAATGATCTGGAGTACTTGTCCAGGTTTCCACTGGTGGATTATCCATTCCAGATGGATCCAGAGAAATGGTCCAGAGGCACCACCTTTGGACCAGGTTACCTTCAGGCCCTGCAAAGTCTGAACCACCTCTGGACCGGGTTAACACTGTTTTTTTTTCTTGTCCGGAAAGTTTGTGAAAGTAACTCTGGATTGTAACGTCTGAGAACATCCCCAAAGTAACTCCTGGTTCTTGTGGTTCTGTTGGTCCGTGGGGTTTTAAAGCGGTCCAGCTTAGACCGTCTCCCTGGAACTCCTCTGGATGTCCTGACCGGGCTCCTGATGTTTTTAGTTTCGTGTTTTTTCACCTCAGGTTTTTGTTGACGTCACCATGACACTTCCACCGCCGTGCTTCACAGAGAAGGTTCGTTTTATCTGAAACAAAGAAGAAACACAAACTTCCTCCTTGAGTAGTTTCATGATGTTCTGCTCTGTAGAGGAACGTGGGTCTTTCCTCGAGGGACTTAGATTTTAACGATTTAAATAATTTTCTCTCACGTGGAGCTCCCCTGAACATTCGTGCTCCTCAGAAACACAAAAACCTTCTGAGGTGCTGCTTCTTGCTTTTTCCTCCACTCTGTAATAAAATAAAACGTTTGTTTCTCCGTGTGGCAGCTCTGATCGCTCGCTCTGTTTCAGTTACTGAAGACTCTCAAGCGACTGGGAGAGCTGCCCATGACTGTGGATATACTGGTGGTGAGTGTGCTTTGATCCTCTCAGTGGTAAAAGTTACAAAACGTCAGAAAGTGAAGCTGCTGCGGAGCAGACGCTCCGACGGCTTCAGGTAGATGTTCTGTTTCCTGACAGGAAACTGGAGTGGGAAAAACCGTGAACTCGTTCAGGAAACACGAAGTCGCCGGAGACCTGGCGAAAAGCCTCGTGGCCAAATGGAAGAAACTGGTTCCCCAGTCTGCAGACAGGTACGTTCTGCACACCTGCCCGAAATAATGAGTCGGTTCTCGTCTCTGTTCCCCTGGACACCTACTGAAGCAATACTCACCTGGTACTCACCTGGTACTCACCTGGTACTCACCTGGTACTCACCTGGTACTCACCTGGGTGTTTATCTGTTACCTGCCTGGTACTTAACAGGTACTTACTGGGTACTTACCTGGCATATAAAGGGTAAATCCGGGTATTCTTCTGGTATTTACCGGGTACTTCATTAATACTCACCTGGTACTTACGGCGCACTTTGTAAGTAATTACCTAGTTTATTCCAGGTACTTTCACCTGGTATTTACTGGGATATTTACTTGGGTGTTTACCAGGTAAATGACTGGTGTATACTGGCCCAATGCTGCCAGGGACCAGTTACGTATCTGGTGTATATCAAGTACTTACCAGGTGTATATTCTTACGTGTTACCTGATGGTACTTACTTGAGCTAAATTTGGATTATATTCCCGTTAGTTGTTTTTAATTTGACCATTTAGTTTCAGCTTCTCCAACAAATTTCAGCCGTCATTCGGCTACTTGTTGTTTGTTGTTTTGATCCTTGTTTCCATGACGACGCTCTTCTCTCCTCTTCAGACTCAACAGTCACCCCAAAGAGTCCTCCCAGTCACACCAGCTGTCTCATGGCCACAGAGATCACCGGGAGCCCTCCCCTGAGGAGGAGCACTCCTACATGGAGGAGGAGGAGGAGAGGGGCTACCACACCAACTACTCCCCTTCGCCTCCTCATCAGAACCAGTACAGCCCCCCGCATCGAGGAGGATACCAGTCAGACGAGTACGGGAGCCCCGAGCAGGAGCCCGAGCCCAGCCCTTCTCCTCCTCCTCCGCGAAAAGATGTCCTCCACACCAAACCCAGCAAAGAACCCATCAAGAACCATCACCATGGCAACAGAGACCGGGACGAGGAGCGACGGCAACGCAACGCTCAGACGAGCAGCGACCGAGGAGGAGGAGGAGGAGGAGGAGGAGGAGGAGGAGAGGAAAAGAAACGAGAGAGGCCGAAGAGTCCGGAGCAGAAGAAACACAGCAGGAAGTCCACAACACACGACAGGAAACAGGAGAAGAAGAAGACAGGAGGAGACGGTGAGTGTGGCGTTCAGTGACTGTGGGTAATTTCTGTTTGGTAACTTTATCCCATCGGTCCAGGTTCTGTTAGATCAGATGAATTTATAAATCTGAGCGTTCTTCAAAGAGACAGGCAGATCAAAAACAAGCAGTTTGTCAGTAAATCATGAATCTGCTCCTCAGCAGCAGATAAACTGGCTCCTCCTCCTCCTCTTCCTCCTCCTCCTCTGTCAAGTTTTATCAGTTTGGATCAGAACTTCCTGTTCAGATCATCTGAAGCTTTTGCTGACAGGAAGTGACAAACCAAACGCAGACAGTTCCCTGATAGCCGCTGACTCGTGTTCTCTTCGATCTGATTAGAAACGAAGCTGAAACACGATCCAGAACCAGAACCAGAACATGGTCAGAGACCTCGCTGTTTTTGGTGCCTGAAAAGTCCAGTCCTGGAGCAGCTGGTGGCGGCGCTGCGCTCCTTCCTGCCAGCGTGTCTTGAATGATCTGCCTCCCAGGAGGCGTGTCGTACCTGCTGCTTCAAGTTTCGCTTGCAGACGTCTTTGAGGCGCAGAACCGGGCGGCCCGGCACCGTCAGCTCGCCGGACAGGAAGTCGTTTCGTCTCTGGGGGTCTGAGCGAGGTCAGGGTTTCTCTCCTGGACCTGTGGCCTCCACGACCCGACCACACGAGACGTAGAAGATGGAGATCGACGATTAAACGTCAATAAATTCCACAAATCTTCAAAATGTCGTGTTTTATTCCTGCGTTAGTTCCCAGACTGGTTTCATTTTGAACATATTTTAATTTAAACATTTAAATCAACTAAAATAAAATCACTTGGTGGGGAAATATTACACGAATACAAATCATCAGTCTTTGGTGTCAAAGCCTCTAACGGCTCAGATTTATTTATGATTTATGTGTTTTTATTCTCAGGGCGACCTCGAGCTCCTAAAGACTCTCCGCTGAAGGAGGAGGAAGACGACTTCAAGACGCCGTCCATGTCCTTCGAGTCCTTCCTCACCTACGACGCTCCGACACCCGTCAAGAAGAAGAAAAAGCTGTCGCAGCCTTCGTCGTCTCACGGCCGATCGTCCTCCTCCTCCTCCCGTCAGACCCCGGCGGCTCCGCCCGCCTCCTCCTCCTCTTCGTCCAAGTCCAGCAAGAAGAGCGTGGCTCAGAGCGCCAAGCGGCCTCGCTCGGACTCAGCCGAAGCGAAGCCGGAGAAGCGCAGCAGGAGGGTGAGTCCTCTCTGGGACAGTCCTCTGAGCTTTTTCATGTTTGGGTAAAAACAACGGTTTGTTTTTGTGGCGCAGGTTGTCGAAGCTCTCCCCACGCTCCCTGACATCCCGCTGCCCGCCATTCAGCCCAACTACAGGCCCCTCCCCTCCATCGAAACGCCGCTGTCCCCTCAGAGGCGTAAAGGTAAAACGGGTTCTGAACCACAAACCAGATTTTACCTCCGAGTCATTCACCTGCGCTCCGAATGGGGCGTTTAATCCGATGGCGTGTGTCCATGTAAACACGGCTGCTGTCTTGAACTGTTCTGAACGAACACGGAGACAAATATCCAGTTTAGGGAGATTTATTTCCGTTTCCTCTGCTGTTTACACACAGCGGTAAAGCACAAGCAGAAGCTCACAGCTCCGTGCACGTCGTGAGAGAAACCAACTGACTCACGCAGCTCTGCACTTACACAGAGCGGTGCGTTCACTAGCGTCGGAACAGCCAGGGTGCATTCAAGAGCACGGGAACTATTAAATTCAGAAGGAAACGAGCTGTACCCAAACAGAACAGAGCTCAGTAAACAAGTCAAATGTGGGTTTTCTAACATGTTTGTTAATAAAGGTTATTACAGGTTGAATGAATAAACTTCACTGGAATCAGACGTTTTAAAGAAGAGTCTTTCGTTACGTTTGCTCTGTATGTGTTCTCTTTACATTTGAAGAGATTCAGCTGTTTTTGGTTTATTATGGAGGAAAATAAACATTTTTCATACATTTACTGTGTTCAGTTACAGCAGTTGTTGATAAAGGTGTGTGTGACAACTGGGACAAAGCTTTGACTCAGAAATATATTTTTATTACTTTATGGAAAGAAAAAATATCGAGATATATATCGTATATCGCCATTTATCTTAAAAATATAGAGGTATTAATTTTGGTCCATATCGCCCCGCCCTATTTCTGCATTTATATGAACACTTCAACAGGAAAGCATGAATGTTTTCTGGATTAAATTCTTTAAAGTTTGACTCAGTTGAACAAAACCGACAGCAGAATCCTTAAATGAAACATCTCAGCTGCAGCTGCTCGAGCGTCTCCGTTGACGTAACTCCTTTTTCTGTGCTTCCCTCTCAGTTTTCGTGTCCAACGACGAGGAGGACGCCGGGTTCACGGGGAAGAGGTTCAACTCCAAGATGGTGGTTTATTCAGGGTCGAAGACGTCTTACCTGCCCAGGATGATGAGTCTGTACGAGCAGTGCATCCGGGTGCTGCAGAACAACATCGACTGTGAGCCGTCTCCTCGCTGCAGCCATAAAACTCTCTTTGGGGGTGGGGGGCGGGGTCAGGTCATTTACAGATGACTCGAGCTGTGCAGGCTCGGATCAGAAACTGCTGCTCACACGTGTCCGTCTGGTTCTCTTCCAGCCATCGCCGAGGTGGGCGGAGTCCCGTTCGAGATCCTGGAGCCAGTTCTGGAGCGGTGCACCCCGGAGCAGCTGTACCGCATCGAGCAGAGCAACCAGGTCCGTCCGAGTCTGTAAATCAAGCTTTTAACGTTAATCTGTCCTCTGGGATAATCTGGATTAAATTAAACGCCCTCCGGCTGCAACCTTCAAACAGCTGCTTAACTCCACGCTGAGCGGTTCTGAAACTGCAGGTCCGGCTCGGTTTAGCTTGATTTGATTCTTAAAGACGTGACTTTAAAAATACAGTCCTTCTGCTGGAGGGAGACGATTATTGTTAATGTTTAAATGTTTTATTTCATCCATATTTTGTCACCCGGCACACCATGAAGACATGTCTCATGTTTTCAGTTCACAGGAGCTAAAATCCTTCCTTCAGCTGTTTGTTGGAGCTAAAATAATTTCTTCAGCTGTTTGTTGGAGCTAAAATCCTTCAGCTGATTTCAGCAGTCTTTCAGCTCTTGTCGTTCTCGCTGAGTTTTCTCAGGAAGTGTCGTTCTTGTAGCTTCTCGTAGCTTCTCGTAGCTTCTCGTAGCTTCTCGTAGCTTCGAGCGTTTAGCCTTCGGCCGGTGTGCTTTTCATCGTGCGTCTCCTCCCCCAGTGTTTCACGGAGGACTCCGATGAGCTGTGGATGCGTCACTGTAAGCGCGACTTCAAGCGGGAGACTCCTCAGGAGTTCGAGTCGTGGCGGGAGCTGTACCTCCGGCTGCACGAGGAACGCGAGGAGCGCCTCCGGATGCTCACCCAGAACATCACCTCGGCTCACGCCAACAAACCCAAAGGTACCGGCTCTTTACCGATCGTCTCTGGGGGTCGAGACCCGATGTGAGCGTGGATCTCTGACTGTCCTTCAGGGCGCCAGGTGAAGATCGCCTACGTGAACTCCGCGGCCAAACCGCCGCGCGACGTCCGCCGCCGCCAGGAGAAGTTCGGCACCTCGGGCGGTTCGTCTACGGCCGCCTCGACCGCAGACACGGCTCCCATCAAGTGAGTTCACTGAAGCATGCGGTGAAATCTTCTTCACGGTGTTTGATGAGTTGAAAAGCCTCCAAACGATGATTTTAATAAATAAAACTCAAGTTATTTTATCTCTAACTCATCGGTCGTTATTTCAGAGTTTAATTGAAAAGTTCGATGAACTTCCAGTGAGATGGGTCCTGAAATATTTTGCTAACAGACACAGTTGACAGTACCAAAGTTTCATTAAAACCGGTCCAGTGCGTCACGAGATATTTTATTAACAGACTCGAGGACAAACATCGTCTCTGCTTCAATGGCTGACGATATTTATTCTATCGTAAAATATTCCATATGAGCCTGAATCGTGTTGTAACGTGACGGGACTCGATCCTACAGAACGCCTCGCATTTGACAAAATTTGAAATTAATTGATCTTTAAATGTAAATCATTTGATTAGACGTGGAGAAAACTACATGAAACCCTCACAGTCACAGCTTCAATAGCTGCTGAGAGAGCTGCTGATGAGAGAGCTGCTGATGAGAGAGCTGCTGATGAAAGAGCTGCTGATGAGAGAGCTGCTGATGAGAGAGCTGCTGATGAGAGAGCTCTGCTTTCTGTCTCAAGACGAGCACGAAGCAGATTTTTTTCTAAAATCTGGGGTGGTAGTAGCTGAGAGTCATTCCCAACACGCTCTCTGAGCTCTAACAGATTGGACATAACATTTTTTTTAAAGTTTTGACCAATCAGCTGTAATAAATTAAATAATTGTAGAAACTGGTGTAAAAAGGCGGTGGGCGATATGCATTCAACCTTTATTTTACAGGTTAGTCTCACTGCATTATGCATTCCTTCAAGAAGTAAAAGTTTTTATTGTAGGAAAGAAGTTTTATTGGTTTTCTGTTTTGTTGTAGAAACTGAAGCAACAGCTGCAGTCCCAAATACATTTTATTTTACATTCAGCTGTTTTGTCCTCTTCCTGTTTCTTTCAGAGTAAAAGCATCCACCACTGATGCCAGCGGTGAGTCGAGCCGCTCCTTTTCCTCCCTGTTAAACTCTCCAGCAGGTCCGGCCCGCTCCTCGGCGCCGAGCGGAGGAGGGGCGGGGCCACACGCCGGCCGAGAGAAGCCACAAGTCAAAAGTAAGTCTGCGGGAACTTTTCTGTTTTATTAAAACAAAAACGGTTTGTTTGAAGTTTGTTCTGTTTTTTGTTTTCCTGCAGAAATCGCCCCCATGATGGCCAAAACCATCAAAGCGTTCAAGAACAGATTCTCCCGCCGGTAGTGAGTTTGATCGGTTTTAATTTAATTTTAGCAGGATTTTAACCAGAGACCTTCTTCCTTCACTTGGTTCTCATTCTGACCCGAATTAACAAAGAACCGATGGGACGGCGGCTCCGCCTGCACGGTTTGAAGCGTTCCGCTCGATCAAAGCGTTCCAGGGAGCAGACGGCGCCTGGTTCTGAGCAGCAGGGCTCGTTTCTGTCATGGCAGGATTTATTTTGACCCGCGGCAGCCGAGCACAAACACTGGAAACTGAGGGCAGCTGAGGCCGCCGTCCTTTAAGGAGTCGCAGAGTTGTAGAGTCGGTCGCAGACGTTCAACAAACCGTTACTTTGATGAAAATCTGCCCAGCGCTTCACGAGATATTTTGCTAACAGGAAAGTCTGGCTCAGGGCTTTTCAGGGGCCAAATCAGACCCACGGATGAACTCAGTTCGTTCCACCAGTGGGTTTATTTTAAATAAAACTAGATTTTAAACCATAAAACAAACTTAATGACAATAACTGCTGGATGTCCGGCCCCTGAGCGCTTGGCTTTCAGTCACTGTGCGCCCCCCCTCCCCCCCAGCGATGACTAGTCCTGTTCAGGGCTGGACTTTCCCTGGTTTAGCATAAACAGTGTTATTATCTGTTGGTGCAACAGGTGTTTTAAAAACTGGTCTCAGGTCAGTGTTTCCACTCCAGTTTTAAATCCGCCTGGTTCGTGTGGACGCTTCAAAACTTTTCAACGTGTCCAGTTTTGAACTTTTAGCTCTTTGCCTTTATTTTTCATTTTACCTCACATTTTTAGCTTCTAAGTCCTGCAGACTTTTTTTAAACACCAAAACGTTCAGCTCGTTCAGGAGACGGATTGTTTTAGTAACTTTTCTACTTTTGAAACATTTTAACCAACCTTTATTTTCCCACTTTCAGTATTTAGTTACATAGATTTAGGTTTAGGCTCCTTCAGCAAGTTTCAGCAGTCGTTCAGAACTCGACGTCTGTTTTTTCTGAGTCGGCATCAGATGCGAGACACAAACCAACCGAGCGTCACCCGAGGTTTTATCTTTCCTGTGGCTGAAGGCTGCAGCCCCGACAGGACGATGTTTCCTCTTCACAGAACTCTGGTGACGGTAGTTTGACCTCTCTGCTTGTTTTATTGTAACATGAGCTCTTTCTGGTTTTAGACGTTTCACGTGAGTCAGGCTGACCGGTTCCCTCCGTTTCCAGTCTCTGTGCTAAGCTAAGCTAACAAGCTGCTTATGTTTATCTGAGGAGTTTTATCAAATTTCCAAAAGAACAAATTGATAGTTTCCAAACTGTGAAATGGTTTCATTTATGTTACAGAGAAATACTTTGATTTTTGTTTTCTTTATGATCACATGACTAAAATGGGAAACTTCAATCTGTTTATGGCTGCTGGAGGATTTCAATGTGTTTATTTAACCCTTTTTTTTTGTGGTACATTTCAGTGCGCGAGGTTAAAATGAAGTCAGAAACATGTCTTGTTGTGTTGTTTGAGCGCGCCTGTGGCTTCAGATCGTGTTTTCCTGCTGCTGAATGAGTCTGTTTCACTCGGCTTCATTATGACAAACTGTTTGAACGATGGAGGAAGAAGAGGAAGGAGGAAGAAGTTCATAGGACGTCTGCGGCTTCAGGCCTCAATGAGATGTATTTATTTAAGCTGTGGGACCTGGTACCCCTCATCATGGGCTCAAGTAGATGAAAAACTGTAATTTTATTAGATTTTAATAAATGTTCTATGGTCATTTTTATTAAAATTGACTTTTGCCCCTAAAATTCCTTGTGGATTTTTTCCTTGCAGTTTTGATGATAAAATAAATAAATAAATAAAATTTTGAGCTTGAGCAAATTTTTTTTATTTTATTAAACTGACTATTAATAAAGGCTTTTGACTTTTTTTTTTAATTGTTTTGTGTAACTTTAAAGTTTGTTTTTTTATATAAAGGTACAAACTATTTTTTCAGGTGCATAAATTTATAATTTTATAATATAATAAGATTATTATGATTGAACTAATTGTTTGAAAAAAGGGGCAGATATAAGATTTTTTCTTCTTTCTGCTGCCTTTCATTTTAAATCTCTTGTATTTTTTTACATAGTTATGGAATTGTTTTGTATTTTTAAAATGAATAAACTTTATACCATACCAATTTTTGGTGTGGATAAAGTTGCAAAATCTGAAAAGTTTTAATTTTAACGGTGAAGTTTTCAGTAAACTTTTTAAACCACAAAATGAAAAGTGTTTTTTTAACGAATTATTGAATGGAAGTTTGTCACGCTTGTAAACAATTTGCGACGGTGTCAACGTTTTGCGGTAAAAGACGCGAGCCAATCAGAAGGCAGATCTCCAGGGTTTTGCTCCGCCTCTATTTGCCGCGCAAACATGGTAGCAGTGAACAACTTCCTGTAACTCACAGGGTCTTCAAAATAAAAGCTTATTCAAAAAAGTTCCCATTTAAGGTAAAGCGGAGTACATTTTATACATTCACACAATTTCACTCAAGTTCAATTTAATAATTAGTTGTGGGGGTTTGCAAGAGTTTAAAAAAACCTAAATATATAGTGTAAGTGATGAAAGTGTGTTTTCCTTTTGTCATTTGCGGATACAAACATTTAGTTTAGGTGTTTAATTATGTGAAGGATATAGTTACTGTATTTGAAAACTGGTAAACACAAGAAATTAAACTGATTTAAGAAACAAACCACAAAACAACAACATATCTCATACCAAAATTATTTAAAATGTCAACTAAATCTAAACTAAATAAAACAAACTTGGACAAGTTTTGATTTTAAAGCACATCTCATCCTTTGTAAAACCTGATTAAAGCAATACACTACTTGACACGCAGAAGGTCCTGGGTGGCAGCACGACAGCTCAGTGGTTAGCACTGTTGCCTCACAGCAAGAAGGCCGTGGGTTCAATCCCCGGTTGGACTCGGGTTCTTTCTGTGTGAGTTTGCATGTTCTTGCGTGGGTTTTCTCTGGGTACTCCAGTTTCCTCCCACAGACCAAAAACACGCACGCTAGTCTGCCTTCAGGTCCAGGCCTCCCTTTCAAAAGAGATCTGTGATCTGAATGGGTTAAATGAAGGTTCACGTTTGGTGTATTGGCTAAGTCTTATTTTGAAACTCAGAGCGGAACTAGATCTTTGTTCCGCTTCACTTCCTGTATCTGGTTCGCGTCACGCTGCAAAGGAAAACTTGCTGATCACGTCTCAGTTTATAAAAACATTTTATTCCAGCACATTTGTTATTTTTGCTCGCGGTTTGAATCCACGATGTACGGCCACGGGCACAGCTGCGGGTCCGAGGGGGAGCACGAACCCGCGGAAAGGGGCCTGGAGTTCGGACTGTACAGCCGCATCGACCTGGAGAAGCTGCAGTGTCTGAACGAGAGCAGGGACGGAGACGGAAAGCTGGTTTTCAAACCGTGGGACCAGCGGAACCAGCGAGACAAGGTAACCCGCGCGTGGAGCCTTTTTCCGGGGCACTCGTCCTGCCTTAACCCCCAATTGAGCAAACTCTCCAGGAGACTGGTGCTTTAAACAAACAAACGGCAAACTTGTAGTTTACAACCGGCTCAGACGGAACATGGCGTGTGTTTAAAATTATTTTTTAAACAAAGCGTCGATTCTAAAGAATATATGAAGTGTTTTTGATCAGGCGCAATCGGGGAGACTCGAGGGGTCCTACAAACAAAACCATAACAAAAAAGTGATGACTCCTAAAACGAATAAGAAGGCAAATACTTGTAAAAATGTCATTAAAAATAGACATAGCACTTTAAATAGCAAAATGACAAAAGTTTAGTCAAATAAAATAACAAGAAAGAGACTCAAAACAACATAAAGACCAATGGATGCAAAATGAACCTCGCAACATCAGAAATGCTGAATTGTTTCTACAGTTTAGACACTTTGATTTAAAAATACAAAACTGTTTGTGGGTCTTTCAGAAAATGCACAGAAGACTAAAAAACGATTTTATATATATATACATATATATATTATATATATATATATATGTATATATATGTGTGTATATATATATATATATATATATATATATATATATACACATGTGTGTGTGTGCCTGTATATGAACATGCATCAGGGTATATGTATATAATATGTATGTATATGTAATATATATGTGTATATAATTTATATAATTTTATTTATATGTATATAATTTCCTTCACTCCATTGCAAAGTGTGTATATCTTGTATTTAATATTAAATGTGACCAAAAAGCGCATCAAATATCTACAGTAAACGAGCCCAAAACACCAAATGTTCAGTTTTGATTTTTCCGTTGAGCTGTAGATATAATCAAAGAATTAAAACACTTAACGCAGCTGTTTTTTTTTTTCTTGTAGTACGTTGAGAGTGACACAGATGAAGAGCTGCTGTTCAACATCCCGTGAGTCTTCCTCACTCTGAACTTCCACTTTCTGCTCTTTGTCTCATTTTGTTCCCAAGCTGACAGAAAATTCTTGTTTCTTCATCTTTTCTTTTAGTCATAATTGAAATATTTCTGTCAAACAGTGTTTCCTTTGATTTATTATAGTTTATACATTAACTGTAAATGTTGACCTGAAGTGGTTTCATTGAATTTGATTTAAACTTTATTTATGCAGGTAGTCTCATAGAGTCATGAGGACTCATTTTAAGACCAGTTTCAAACAAACACAATCATATAGAACAATAAAAGCAACTAAGTTATAATTTAATAAAAACAATAAAATTAAAGTACCATTCAAAACAAGGTAAAATATTAAAAACAAGAACATATTTGCTTTGATTGTTCTATTGAACTTATCAAATGTTTAAAATCCCTTAAAAAAGTCAAGGTGGACAGCTTCAGCTCTTGTTGCAAGATGTTCCACAAGCAGAGTAAGAAAAGGCCTTTTTGCCAAGTTCAGTCCGCTGCAAGGGAACGCTGAGGTAATGAAGTCCTAAGAGCGCACGCTGTAACTGCACTGACGAAGTGACGTGGGAGGAGCTATATGAAGGCAGCAGACCAAGGAAGGATCCATGTTGTCTTCACCCTGACATCTTGGCGTCTGGCCTGTCAGCATCTCGGCGTCCTACAAGTCGAGCTAAGCGTGACTCTTCTCTTTCAGTTTCACCGGCAGCGTGAAGCTGAAAGGAATCATCATCTCTGGAGAAAACGACGACTCTCATCCGGCTGAGATTCGGCTGTGAGTTTCTGCTTCAGTTTCTTTGAAAAGCCAGAACAAGCAAAATGGAAAAAAAAAATGATTTCAACTTTCTGTCTTTGTTGCATTTGGGAGGTTGGAACAGAAAATCCTTATTGAGGTTAATCAGCTGTGCTAATCTCAGCGGCTTCTTTACACGTTTTATAATCTGCTGGTTGTTGTTTTTCTCCACAGATACAAAAACATCCCTCAGATGTCGTTTGACGACACCGGCAGAGAACCTGAACAAGCCTTCAGACTCAACCGAGACCCTCAGGCTGAGCTGGAGTACCCAACAAAGTGAGAACGCACAGACATCAACACAAGAACAAACAACAACACAAGAACAAACAACAACACAAGAACAAACAACACAAGAACAAACAACAACACAAGAACAAACAACAACACAAGAACTAACAACACAAGAACTAACAACACAAGAACTAAGAACAACACAAGAACTAAGAACAACACGAGAACTGACAA